AGGTTATATGCAGGAGTATCTGGCAGCAAAGATAGATTTCCTACCTCAGCATTGAAAACTTTCCTAGAACAGGGCATGATGAAGTGCACCTGTGGTTCCAGAAAATGCTGTGTTCAAAGTTAGCTTGGGAGGATATAAACAGGGAGAGGAGAGAGGGGAAATTGTCAAGACAGCACCTTCCATTTACAAAGACGTGCACCAAATGTTAAACTAGTACAAAAAAATATATTGGCTATATTGGTTACATTGCTGACAGAGGCACAGAATGTGTCCAGAAGAGTAGACGAGTTTTACAGTTCCTAAAAGATCATTAAAACTATTTGTAAAGCCATAGTGCTTACATTTGGATATTCTATTGCAAAGATCATTGCAGATGTCCATACTTCATAAAGTATCGAACGAACTTTTAAATACATTTTAAGTTCAAGAAATATATTGTTTTTTATATATATACTGTGGGTTACAGTGTATTTATATTCCTGGTAAAGTAAATAGGGGCAGATGGTGATGTCCCCCCCGTCAGCTGTAGGAAAGGGAATTCATACTTATCTTTCCAGAGCCAGAATAAAACTGGACTCTGGTTTCTTAACAGCCTGTCTTGGCATTTAAAATTAAAATTACTTGAAATGTCTACTAATATAAACTTAATAAAATTCAGTTTAGATTTAAACTATTTCTTTGTAACAGAACATGTGTAGTGTTCTTCATTATTTTCAGAATTGTAATATTCCTTTCCCTTTTCTGCTTTGCAAAAAGTACAAGGACAGAGGATTAGTGGGTGATTGTATTCCTTTGATTGTAGCACCTGTGTGGGTGGGGAGGGGAGCAGTGTGTGTGGGGGGGTGTATGTGTAAGAGTGTGTGGGTGTGGGGTGTGTGTGCATAGGTGTGTATAGGTATGGAGGTTGTAAGGGTGTGTGTGTGTAGGTGTAGGGGTGTTGTAGGTATGGGAATAGGAGGGGGGGTGTATGTGTAGGGGTGGGGGAGTCGATGGGTAGGGACATGTGTAGGGGTGGGATGTGTTGTAGAGGTGGGGTGTAGAGGGGACGTTTGTAGGTGTATATGTTTAGGTGGGTTTGTGTTTGATAGGCTACTTCTGTATTAAAAATTCCTACTAACTGAAGTCACCTTTATCAAATTTTTAAGCTAATTTTACCTTGAGATGTCTTAAATTTTACCACAAATACTTCTATGAATTCATCTTAGGTCTGCACTTTAAATTTTACTTCTGAATATTTTTGTTAGTTCCCCTTCACCTTTTTATCATCTTACTCATTTCAGTGTTTAATTTTAATGCCATTTGCAGCACTCACTCACAGTAGGACTGTAGCTTGAGTTGTCCTCTTTTTGCTAGCCACTGAGTTTGTGTATGCCAATTTATAGGTACTAATAACTCTTCCCTAGAGAGCTGCCTCTAAGAGTCTGACCTGCTACGAAGAGATACAGGCATTTGCTGCTTCAAGTGCTGGTGACAACTACAGACGCTATGGCTACTCTTTTTTTTTTTTTTTTTTTTTTTTTTTTTTTTTTTTTTTTT